CTACGAGATTTAGCCGCGAGCTCATCCCCAGGCAGATAAATCTTTTTCACCAATAATGGCATATGGGGTTTTAGCAATCGTTTCCAACTGTTATCCCCCTCCTAGAGGTAGATTCTCACGTGTTACTCACCCGTCCGCCACTAGAATAAAATTCTCGTACGACTTGCAGGTGTTAGAAAGACCGCCAGCGTTAATCCTGAGCCAGGATCAAACTCTCCATTATTTTTCAATACTAGTTAATAATTTGTTCTTTTTTCCTCTTGATTCAGATAAGAGCTAATAATTTATTCTAAAGATCCATAATAATACAGTATAAGATCTTTTATTATTTGTCAAGTGCTAAGTTAATAAATTTTACTATAAAATACTATTATATAATCTTAATTTTTCATTCTATTTTTTTTTTTTTTTTTAGAATTAAATTCTTGTATTTATTATGACTTCTTTTTATATAAAAAAAGGAATAACATTCTCTTCTATTGTTTATAATCATAATTATAAATTTTATCCAGTATTATCAATGGACAATATTCGAGGTAAAGAAAAAATTTTAATTGCAGATGATGAATCAAGTATTAGACGTATACTAGAAACACGTCTATCTATAATTGGATATGAAGTACTGACTGCACCTGATGGTGAATCTGCTTTATTTTTATTTCATAAAGAACATCCAAATCTTGTAGTTTTAGATGTTATGATGCCTAAAATAGATGGATATGGAGTTTGTCAAGAAATTCGTAAAGAATCTGATATACCAATAATTATGTTAACAGCACTTGGAGATGTAACTGATCGAATTACTGGTTTAGAATTAGGAGCAGATGATTATGTAGTTAAACCTTTTTCACCTAAGGAATTAGAAGCTCGTATTAGATGCGTATTAAGACGAGTTGATAAATTTTATTTTTCTAACACATTTACTAATTCAGGCATATTTAATATCGGGTTTTTAAAAATTGATATTAATCGTAAACAGGTTTATAAAAATGAAGAAAGAATACGATTAACAGGTATGGAATTTAATTTACTCGAATTACTAATTAGTAATTCAGGAGAACCATTATCTAGAACAGCTATTTTAGAAGAAGTTTGGGGATATACTCCTGAAAGACATTTAGATACTAGAGTTGTAGATGTACATATCTCAAGGCTTAGAGCGAAGTTAGAAGATGACCCTAGCAATCCAGAATTGATTTTAACCTCAAGAGGTACAGGATATTTATTCCAACGTATAATAGAAATTAATAAAAATTATAATCCACTTATTCAATTACAAAGGATTTAAATTATTAATTTACATTAACAAACTTACTGAAGTTAAAAATTTTTATTTTTGAAATTATAATAAATTATGTATGAACTATTAAATTTTTAAGAAAAGTAAAACTTTTTATTATTTTTTAATATTTATTATTAAACAATTTATATAGAATTTTGATTAAATTATATTTTTTAAATCTTAACTTAAATATACAATATCGTACAATGTATAAAATTTAGATTAATTATATATATAAAGCATACTTAAATAAAGTTTTGGGAGAATATTTATGACTATAGCTATAGAAAGAAATATACAAAGAGGGTGGTTCGACTTAGTTGATGATTGGCTAAAACGTGATCGATTTGTCTTTATTGGATGGTCAGGTTTGCTACTTTTTCCATGTTCATATCTAGCTCTAGGTGCCTGGTTTACAGGTACAACTTTTGTTACTTCTTGGTATACGCATGGTTTAGCTTCTTCTTATTTAGAAGGATGTAATTTTTTAACCGCTGCAGTATCAAGTCCTGCAAATAGTATGGGACACTCATTATTATTTTTATGGGGACCAGAAGCTCAAGGTGATTTTACTAGATGGTGTCAAATTGGAGGTCTTTGGACTTTTACTGCTTTACATGGTGCTTTTGCCTTGATAGGTTTTTGTTTGCGTCAATTTGAAATAGCCAGATTAGTCGGAATTAGGCCATACAATGCAATAGCTTTTTCAGGACCAATTGCAGTTTTTGTTTCAGTATTTCTTATTTATCCACTTGGGCAAGCTAGTTGGTTTTTTGCTCCTAGTTTTGGAGTTGCAGCTATCTTTCGATTTATTTTATTTTTACAAGGTTTCCATAATTGGACTTTAAATCCATTTCATATGATGGGTGTTGCTGGAATACTCGGAGGAGCATTACTTTGTGCTATTCATGGAGCGACTGTAGAGAATACATTATTCGAAGATGGCGAAGCTGCTAATACTTTCAGGGCTTTTACACCAACACAATCAGAGGAAACTTATTCAATGGTTACGGCTAATCGTTTTTGGTCACAAATTTTTGGTGTTGCATTTTCTAACAAAAGATGGCTACATTTTTTTATGCTATTTGTGCCAGTTACAGGATTATGGACAAGCTCTATTGGTATCATAGGACTTGCATTAAATTTACGTGCATATGATTTTGTCTCTCAAGAATTACGTGCCGCAGAGGACCCAGAATTTGAGACTTTTTATACTAAAAATTTACTTCTAAATGAAGGTATAAGAGCATGGATGGCAACACAAGATCAACCACATGAAAATTTTGTATTCCCAGAGGAGGTTTTACCACGTGGAAATGCCCTTTAATAATCGTATTGAGTTAGCAGGTAGAAGTATTGAATCCACAGGCTATGCCTGGTGGGCAGGTAATGCTCGTTTAATAAATGTGTCTGGTAAATTATTAGGAGCTCATGTAGCTCATGCAGGTCTAATCGTTTTTTGGACCGGTGCAATGACTTTGTTTGAAGTTGCGCATTTTTTACCAGAAAAACCCTTATATGAACAAGGTTGTATCTTATTGCCTCATTTAGCTACTTTAGGTTGGGGTGTAGGACCTACTGGTGAAATTATTAATACTTATCCTTATTTTGTAATAGGAGTTTTACATTTAGTTTCTTCAGCAGTATTAGGATTTGGAGGACTGTATCATTCTCTTATAGGTCCAGAAATACTAGAAGAATCATACCCATTTTTTGGATATGATTGGAGAGATAAAAATAAGATGACAACAATTTTAGGTATTCATTTAATTTTATTAGGAATTGGAGCTTTTTTGCTAGTTATAAAAGCTATGTTCTTTGGTGGAGTTTATGATACATGGGCTCCTGGTGGAGGAGATGTACGTTATATTAATAATCCAACCCTAAACCCGTTAGTAATTTTTGGCTATCTTTTAAAATCTCCGTTCGGAGGAGATGGATGGATTATCAGTGTCAATAATATGGAAGATTTAATTGGTGGGCATATTTGGATTGGTTTAATTTGTATTGGCGGAGGTATATGGCATATTTTAACTAAACCTTTTGGATGGGCAAGAAGAGCTTTTGTATGGTCAGGTGAAGCCTATTTATCATATAGTTTAGCTGCATTATCATTAATGGGTTTTATAGCATGTATTTATGCATGGTATAATAATACAGCTTACCCAAGTGAATTTTATGGACCAACAGGACCGGAAGCATCTCAATCTCAAGCTTTCACCTTTTTAGTTAGAGATCAACGTTTGGGAGAAAATGTAGCTTCAGCTCAGGGGCCAACTGGTCTTGGAAAATACTTAATGAGATCTCCAAGCGGAGAGGTTATTTTTGGTGGAGAAACTATGAGATTTTGGGATTTAAGAGCGCCTTGGTTAGAACCTTTAAGAGGTCCAAATGGATTAGATCTAAATAAAATAAAAAATGATATTCAGCCATGGCAAGAAAGAAGAGCAGCTGAATATATGACTCATGCACCATTAGGATCAATTAATTCAGTAGGTGGTGTAGCAACTGAGATTAATTCATTTAATTATGTATCTCCACGCTCATGGTTAACAACTTCACATTTTGTGTTAGGATTTTTTTTATTTGTTGCACATTTATGGCATGCAGGAAGAGCAAGAGCTGCTGCTGCTGGATTTGAAAAAGGTATCAATAGAGAAAATGAACCAGTGCTTTCAATGAAATTAATAGATTAAAAAAATATCTTGCTCTATAGCTATTAATATAGCTATAGAGCAAGATATTTTTTTTTGGAAATTAGACAAGTCCTAAGAAATGTAGGACGCCTTTTCCTGTTAAAAGCTCAGTTACTAACGCTGATACAAATCCAATCATAGCTAGTCTTCCGTTCCAATTCTCTGCTCCTGTCGTAAAGCCCCAACTCCATGTATTACGATCTTTATTTTGCATGACTTAATTCCTTTTTTTTGACTTTTAATTTTAAATCAATAAAATTCACTATTATAATTATAACATAAATTTTATAAATTTCAATATTAGTTTCAATTTTAAAAACAAAATCAGTTAAAATTAATTAGACAAATTTTAATCTTCTATATTATAATGTTCATATAAATAATTTTTATCTATAATATAATCATACACTAACTATGTTAATGTTTATATTGTTTGTTATACTTAAAATTATTCTTGGTGTTGTTACAGAATTTTGTAGAATATACTTATTTGCTTTATCAATTAGAGTGTTTTTAGCATGGATAGTTACTATTAATTGGTATGCACAGCCTTATATTGTCTTAAAGAAATTGACAGATCCTTATTTAAATTTATTTAGAGGTACTCTACCATTAATTTTAGGTATGGATTTTTCCAGTATGTTAGGCTTTCTATTTTTAGAATGTTTAATACAATTACTAGAAAGTATTTATATTGAAATAATATATTAAAATTTTAAATAATATAAAAAAATATGTTAAAAATCAGATTAAAAAGATGTGGAAGAAAAAAACAAACAAGTTTCAAAATAGTCGTTATGAATAATCTTGATAAAAGAGATGGTCAGGCAATCGAAGAATTAGGTTTTATAAATCCACGAACCAAAGAAAAGTACCTAAATATTAATAAGATTAATCACTATTTAAGTTTTGGTGCAAAGCCCACTAAAACAGTATTTGATATATTAAATAAAGCTAAAATCTTATAAAGTAATAAATAACTATATGTTAATGTACAGAAATAATAGTTATGACAATCTAGATATATTACTCTTTACTATGGAATGTTTGGAAAATTCTATCTTATCTAAAATTATTAACTTTATTAATATAAATGACTATCCCAAAGAATATATAAATGATCTTATTGAATTTAAAATGAATAGTTCACTAAAAATCACTAAATCAACTAATAAGTATAAAATTAATAAATTCAATGAGATATTTAATATTTATGAAATAATTAACCTTTACATTAACAAAAACCATATTAAATATATTATTTTTAAATTACTATATATTAATGACAAAAAACATCTTAATCAAAAAATAACTGATAAACAAGAAGAATTAATAAATGCATATTTTAATAAATATAGATTTTATTTTAGATTGTTTTATCCTATTACATTAATAGGAAAAGATAAATTTTTTAATGATGAATATATAAATCAAATTGCTATTAATAGTCTATTATGTTTATATATAAATTGTTTTGCAGACGGGTTAATAAAAATATGGAAGTTCGTAAATAATAACCATCTATTACAAGGTAATATTTATACCTTGTAATAGATGGTTATTATTTATGAACTTCCATATTTTTATTCATCTCATCTACTACTAGACACTCAGTTGTTAGAATCATTCCGGCAATAGAAGATGCATTTTGTAACGCAGATCTCGTTACCTTAGCTGGATCAATAATACCTGACTCATACATATTTACAAATTGACTAGTAGAAGCATCATATCCTATAGAAAAATCTTGATTTTTTATTTCATCAACAATAATAGCTCCATTTTTCCCTTCATTTTGTACAATACGTTTTAAAGGTGCTGTTATAGCTTTTTCTACAATTAATGCACCTATTAATTCATCTTCTTTTAAAATACCCTTTGCCCACTTAAATAAATCATTAGCTAAATGTACTAATGTAGATCCACCACCTGGTACTATACCCTCCTCAATTGCAGCCTTAGTTGCATTTATAGCATCTTCCAAACGTAATTTTTTATCTTTCATTTCAGTTTCTGTAGCAGCACCTACCTTAATAACAGCGATCCCTCCTCCTAATTTGGCAAGTCTCTCTTGTAATTTCTCTTTCTCATATGATGAATCAGTAATTTCAATTTGTTTACGAATTTGTTCACATCTAGATTTAACACTATTTTCATTAGCATTAGATATAATAGTTGTAGATTCTTTATTTACAATAACTTTATTAGCCTGACCAAGCATTGATAAATCAACTTTATCTAGACTTAAACCTGCATCTTCTGTAATTAATTGCCCTCCTGTTAATATAGCGAGATCTTCTAAAATTGATTTTCTCCTATCTCCAAAGCCTGGAGCTTTGACAGCTACAACGTTTAATATTCCTCTTAATTTATTAACAATTAATGTGGCAAGTGCTTCTTTTTCTACATCTTCAGCTATTATTAGAAGTGGTTTATTTGTTTTAGCAATTTGCTCCAAGATTGGTAAAAGATCTTGTTGAACAAGTGTTATTTTTTTATCTGTTATTAAAACATATGCACTTTCTTGAACTACTTCCATTCTCTCACTATCTGTTACAAAATATGGGGAAATATATCCTCTTTCAAATTTCATACCTTCTTTAATTTCTAATTCCGTTATAGTTGATTTCCCCTCTTCTATAGAAATTACACCTTCACGCCCTACTTTTTCAATTGCATCTGCAATCATTTTTCCTATATTTTCATCATTACCTGAAGAAATTGTTGCTACTTGAGTAATAGCTTTATTGTCTTCAACAGGACGCGAATATTCAGAAATTTTATTAACAATAAACTGAGTGGCTTTATCTATTCCTCTCTTTAAAGCTATAGGATTAGCTCCTGCAGAAACATTTCTCATTCCCTGTTTTACAATGGCATGTGCTAATACAGTAGATGTAGTCGTACCATCACCAGCAACGTCATTTGTTTTAGAAGCTGCTTGTCTAATTAAGGCTACACCTGTATTCTCTATATGATCCTCAAGTTCAATCTCTTTGGCAATAGTTACACCATCATTTATTATTTGGGGAGAACCATATTTTTTTTCAATTACAACATTACGTCCTTTAGGTCCTAAAGTAACAGAAACAGCTTCAGTAAGTATATCGATTCCTTTTTCTAAAGCTTTGCGTGCATTTTCTTGATATAAAATCTGTTTAGTCATAATTGTTTTAATATATAAAGATAAAAATGTTAAAACATATAGAATAAAATTATTAATATTAAAATATTAAATAATATTGTTATAAAAAGTGCGGTTTTCTGAACTATATTGAAAATAATAAATTATTTTTATTATAATATTACTTATCTTGAGTATATTAAGTTATTACTCTGATTTAAATTACAAAGAATTTATATATACTATAATTATTTTATAAATAAGGGCTTGTAGCTCAGTGGAACAGAGCACATGGCTACGAACCATGGTGTCGGGGGTTCGAATCCCTCCTTGCCTGAGTTCATATATAAAATATATTTATAATTATAATGAGGTGTAGCCAAGCGGTAAGGCAGCGGACTTTGACTCCGCGATTCGTAGGTTCGAATCCTACCACCTCAGGTAATCTAACTTTATACGAGACTGAATGGATTTGAACCATTGACCTAATGTTTAGGAAACATTTACTCTATCCAACTGAGCTACAGTCTCTTATTTTTTACAATAAATATTATCTATATAATACAATAATATTATGTAATATAAAATATAAATATACATAATATGTTTTAGAAAAAATTATACATTAAATTATGGCATCTATTCAGTTTATAACAGGCCTTGATGAAAAAGAAATTCCCGATATAAAACTAACTAGATCAAAAGATGGGAAAACTGGTACAGCTACATTTATTTTTACAAATCCAAATGTTTTTCAAAAAACTTCTAAAGATCAAGCTGATATTACAGGAATGTATTTAATTGATGAAGAAGGAGAAATGGTAACTAGAGAAGTAAATGCAAAATTCGTTAATGGTAAACCTTATAAAATTGAAGCTTTATATATTATAAAAAATAATGATGAATGGGATAGATTTATGCGTTTTATGGACCGATATGCAAAAGAAAAAGGTTTAGTCTTTACTAAATCATCTGATACATAAAAAAATATATGGTATCTTGAAGATACCATATATTTTTTTATGTAAGACATAAGCCGGGTTTAGTTCTTGAAATTTCTTTTCAAGGGTGGTTATTTATCTTAAAGTATTTATTACTAAATACTTTATGCGGTTTTTCAAGCACAAAATTTATTTTTAGCTTTAAATCATATAGACCTTGCTTTTTATTGAGGCTTACTGCCATAATATTTCACAATATTAGAGGTAATATACCGTTGCAACTTTAATAACTTTAAATTAAAGTTATTAGAATATTTTCTGTAGTGCTTTGCTAATGATCTATCATTCTGGAATTTATCCAGCAATATTTTCAACTTAAAGCCCGGACTTTCCTCAGTAATATAAAAGTTTTTATATACTGCAACCACCTACGCTTACAATACATAACTTTATACGATTTATCCTCCTCCAACAAGAGTTAATATTTCTAGTTTATCACCTTCTCTTAAATTTGTAACAGACCATAAATTTTTAGATATAATCTCCATATTATATTCTACAACAATTAAATTGATATCAAAATTTAAATATTTGATTAACTCACTTATAGTCATATAAGGTGAACAATAATAGTTTTTTCCATTAATATATATTAATATAGATTTCATAAATCAATAAATCTTAAAAAATTTTTATTAATTAATTTTTGGTGGATGTAGCCAAGTGGTAAGGCAATGGATTGTGGCTCCATCAATCGCGGGTTCAAATCCCGTCATTCACCCTACTTTAAGATATTGAAACTATTATTCAATAATTAAATTATTTTTTATTGCATATCGTACTAACTCAGTACGACTTCTTGTAAAGGTTTTATTAAATAATCGACTTACATATTTTTCTACATTACGAGAACTTATATTTAATTTGCGTGCAATTTCTTTATTCATAAGACCAGCAACAACTAAATTTAAAATTTGTTGTTCTTTAGTTGTTAAAGAGAATATTTTCAATCCTTCTATTTGAGAATCTGCTTTTAACAAGTTTTTAATATCTGATGACCAAAATACATCTGGATCCTGGTTTTGCTCTTTTAATCTCGTTAAAATATTATTTATTATTGATAATAATTCCTCAGGATCAATAGGTTTTACTAGATAGCTATTACAACCAATATTATAAGCTTTTATACGATCTTCTGTCATACCTTTTGCACTTAATAATATTACTGGTATTAATTTAAATCTTATATCTTTCCTTATTTTTTTTAAAAATTCATAACCATTAATTCCAGGTAAAATTATATCAGCAATAATTAAGTCAGGAAAATTTCTATTAATGATAGAAAAAGCTTCGCGAACATCCTTAGCTAAAATGATTTCGAAGTTATATTCTTGTAGATACTTTTTTAATGATTGACGAATACTTAATTCATCATCAATAACAAGTAATTTATATTTCATACAATTTAATATAATAATATCATATGAAAATTAAATTTATTTCTAATTGCAAAGATAACAATTATAAGCATTTATTTATAGATAATAATGTAATACTAGATAATCTAATGAAAAATTCTTTGTGTTTAGAAATTGATAAATACGAAAAACTTTATTTTACTATATCAGATCTAAAATACTATTTCCTCATAACGAAAGGAACAATAAGAATTAGTAAAATATATAATAATGGTGCCAAATTTACATTTATCTTTTTAAAGGAATATGATTTATTCGGTAAATTTGGCGAAATAAAAAAAAACAATTCATCTCTTATATATGAATTAGAGGCATTAGAAAATACTTATTTACTAAAAATATCAATAATTAGAATATTTAATAAAATAGATCAGGAGAAAACAAAAACATTATATAAAAAATTAATTTTCGCATTAAATAAAAGATTAATACGTAATAATATGTTAATGGAAATTCTAACTCATAGAAATATAAAAAATAGATTAATTAGTTTTTTATTATATTTAGCCTTATATTTTGGATCTTTATCAAAACTAGGAATTATTATTAATTTGAATTTATCTCATAGTACAATTGCAGAAATTTTATGTTCTACCAGAGTCACAATAACACGATATATCAAATCATTAGAAAAAAGGCAATATATTAAATACCTAAAAAAAAATATAATTATTATAAATCCTATCCTATTGACTCAATATAAAAATTTATAACTATCAATAAAAAGATGAAATTTTAAATAAAAAAATATATAATAAATATAACTTAAATTTGTATTCTCAAATTTAAACTTATTTATATTTACACTATTATCTTATTATTATCTTATATCTTATAAATATATAAAATTAAAATTTAACATATGGGCAAAATATACGATTGGTTTGAAGAACGCCTTGAAATACAAGCAATAGCAGACGATATTACTAGTAAATATGTTCCTCCTCATGTAAATATATTCTATTGTTTGGGAGGTATTACATTAACTTGTTTCATAATACAAATTGCAACTGGCTTTGCTATGACTTTTTACTATAGACCAACTGTTACAGACGCATTCTCTTCAATAGAATACTTAATGACCACAGTAAATTTCGGTTGGCTAATTAGATCTGTACATAGATGGTGTGCAAGTATGATGGTCCTAATGATGATTTTACATAGTTTTAGAATTTATTTAACTGGTGGATTTAAAAAACCTAGAGAGTTAACATGGATCAGTGGAGTAATTTTAGCTGTACTGACTGTATCATTTGGAGTAACAGGATATTCTCTACCATGGGATCAGGTGGGCTATTGGGCTGTAAAAATTGTAACTGGTGTACCAGAAGCCATTCCTTTAGTTGGTAATAGTTTAGTAGAATTGTTGCGTGGAGGTTCTAGTGTTGGTCAAGCTACCTTAACAAGATTTTATAGTTTACATACTTTTGTCTTACCCTTATTAACAACTGTTTTTATGTTAATGCATTTTCTAATGATTCGTAAACAAGGAATTTCTGGTCCACTATAATACATAAAGGAGAAAATTCATGTCAATTTTAAAAAAACCAGATTTATCTAACCTAGAATTAAGGGCTAAATTAGCTAAAGGAATGGGACATAACTATTATGGTGAACCAGCATGGCCAAATGATTTGTTATATGTTTTCCCTGTTGTGATCTTAGCCACGATATCTTGTTGTATTGGTCTAGCTATAATGGAGCCCTCATCTATTGGTGAGAAAGCAGACCCTTTTGCTACTCCATTAGAAATTTTGCCTGAGTGGTATCTCTACCCCACATTTAACTTGTTAAGAGTGATCCCAAATAAATTATTAGGTATTTTATCAATTAGTTTAATTCCTGTAGGCTTAATTCTCGTACCATTTATTGAAAATATCAATAAATTTCAAAATCCTTTTAGAAGACCAATAGCAACTACTATTTTTTTAATTGGTACTATAATTGCCATTTGGTTAGGAATAGGAGCTACATTACCAATAGATAAAGCAATTACTTTAGGTCTATTTTAAAGGTAAAGATTGATTAGAAAATAAAAATAATCTAGTGTATCTTATTTTAATACATAAATAAGATACACTAGATTATTTTTGTTTTCTAATCAATCTTTACCTGAGCACCAACAGACTCAAGATCTTTTTTTATTTGTTCAGCATTTTCTTTTGAAACTGCTTTTTTTAAAGGTTGGGGCACTGAATCGACAAGATCTTTAGCTTCTTTTAAACCTAAACCTGTTATTGTACGAACTGTTTTTAAAACAGATATTTTTTTATCAGTTGGTACTACTTCTAGTATCACATCAAATTCTGTTTTTTCAGTAATAGGTTGCTGTAAAGATTTTTTTTCTTGAATAGATGATAAATTTTCGGCACTTATCAATTGACTTGAAGATGCATTTACGTTAAAAGTCTTTTCAATTGCCTTTACTAATTCAGATGCTTCTATTAAACTTAATTCCTTTAATTCTTCTAAAATTGCTGAAACTTTATTATCCATAATAAAATATTGAATTATCTTAATTGGTAAAAATAATAAATAAATTAAAAATATTAAAATTATATTAATTATACTAAATAAAAGTGCTAACATCAATATTAATTGAAGGGCTCATTGTACTGCAAATATAACAACTTTTCCAATACTTACCTTTTACACCAGATGGCTTGTTCTTATTGATAGAATCTTTAATTGCTAATAAATTAAATAATAAATCTTCGGTACTAAAATTAACTTTTCCAAAACCTATATGAACAATTCCTGTTTTATCTGCTCTATATTCAATTTTACCATTTTTAAAATTTTTTATTGTATCAGCAAGATCATTTGTAACTGTGCCAGTTTTAGGCGAAGGCATCAAACCTCTTGGACCAAGAATTTTACCCAATTTAGCAATCTTAGGCACAAAATCAGGGGTAGTAATTAAATAACTAAAATCCAAAAAATTATTATTTGTAATAGTGTCTAATATTTCATCTGAACCAACTAAATCTGCACCTGCAGATTTAGCAAGTTCTAATTGAGATGAATTAGTTATAACTGCTATTTTAACAAATTTACCTGTTCCTCTAGGTAATAAGACGCTTGCTCTTAATTGTTGATCATTATATTTAGGATCTATTGCTAAGTTCATATGAACTTCTGCAGTCTCTGAAAACCTAGCATTAGCAATTGTTTTCAATAATTCAATTCCCTCTCTGAGTTCATAGGATTGTTCTAAGATCTGTGATTTAATTTTTTGAAAACGTTTTGATTTCTTTATCATTTTTTTTGTAATTTTATTTATGATCACTTATTATTAAACAAAATTTTATCGATTAAATTTATTTATTTTTATTAATTATAATACCCATATTTTTAGCTGTTCCTTCAACTATTTTTATAGCTTGAGAGATGTCATTAGTATTTAAATCTGGCATTTTAATATTAGCTATTTCCACTAATTGATTATAATCAAGAGTACCTATTTTATTTTGATTACATTTATCAGAACCTTTATTTATATTTAATAATTTTTTTATTAATTCCGATACAGGTGGTGTTTTTAATATAAAATTAAAACTTTTGTCTTCATAAATATAAATTTCTGCTGGAATTATTAAACCAATTTTATCAAGAGTCTTAGCATTATATTCCTTACAAAACATTACTATATTAACACCATGTTGTCCTAATGCAGGTCCTACAGGAGGAGCTGGAGTAGCTTTACCTGCTGGTAGCGCTAATTTTACTACACTAATCAATTTTTTACCCATCTTTTATATTATGTTTACATGTAAATAGAATAATTTATTTTATTTATTAATAATATAAAATATTTTTTTATCAAAAAGCAAAAATAAAAAATCACGTCCTGAAGGAATTGAACCCTCGGCATTAGGTTTTGGAAACCTACGTTCTACCAACTGAACTAAGGACGCTTATTTATTAATTTATTATATTAATAATGTTATTATATCCAAGATTAAATTATTTAGATGCTTAATCCAGATTTAAATTCATTAGAATTAACAACTACAGAATATGAAAGATATAATAAGCACTTAATTTTACCTCAAATACAAATAGAAGGACAAAAAAGATTAAAAATGGCTAAAGTCCTATGTATAGGTGCTGGAGGTTTGGCTTCAAGTATTTTAACTTATTTAGTTTCTTCTGGAATAGGTCTCATAGGTATCATTGATTATGATGTAATTGAATTATCAAATCTACCACGCCAAACAGTTTATACTCCAAAGGATATTGGGTTTCCTAAAGTTAATTGTGCAAAACAAAACTTATCGATTATTAATTCAGATTGTAAAATACATATTTATAATGATAAATTAAACATAGGTAATTCAATAACGATAATCAAATTTTATGATTTAATAATAGATTGTACTGATAATTTTGCGATTCGTTTATTAATTAATGATATATGTTATCTCTTAGGTAAAACTCTAGTTTTTGGTGCTGTAATAGGCTTTCAAGCACAAGTTGCTATCTTTAATTATCAAAGTTCAAGCAACTATAGAGATTTATATTCTATAGAGAGACTAAACTTCACATCTCAATTAGGCTCATGTAATTCAGGGGGAGTAATTTCTGTTTTACCTTCTCTGACAGGAATCTTACAAATTTCAGAAGCCTTAAAAATTATTATTGGTTATAGGAGTTCTTTAATTGAACATATTATAAATATAAATTTATTAGATAATAAATTTCAACAAAGTCGATTAAGAACAGGAAATTATATAAAATATAATTTAAAATCCAACTTAACTTATTGTTTATATAATTCTTTTGAATTATATTTTAAGCATCTCTTTTTAGATATTAATCAGATTATTTTTAATAAAAATTTTAGGAGTAAAAAAACAAATATTAATCTTATAAACATTTATGTTTATAAATATAAAACACAAAAAAAAGAAAACTTTTTTTTTATACCATTATGCCAACTAAAAAATTTTTTATTAGAAATAAGAAAAATGAATATTTCATATATTAACTTAAACCTTCCTAGAGGTAAAGAAATATATTATTATAAAGCTTATCTTATATTTAGACAAATAACTAATATTTATCCTTATTTTTTTAAAGATATTTAAAACAGGAGAGAGAGGGATTCGAACCCTCGTTAAGAATATACTTAAACAGCATTTCCAATGCTGCGCCTTCAACCACTCGGCCACCTCTCCTTTTAATATTTATAATATACATATTATATAATACTAAATACTATATTATAGAATATATTTATACAATCAATTATTATCAATAAAGTAATACAAAAAATGAAAAAAAATAAACAACATATTGAAGTGTTTCTTTATCAGAATATAAAATCACTAGCAAAAAAGGGGGATATCATAAAAGTTGCTCCTGGATATGCAAGAAATTATTTAATTCCACAAGATTTAGCAGAAATTGTTAATCAAAATAACTTGAAAAAATTTATAAATATACAAAATAGAATAAAGAACAAAGAAAAAACCTTTCAAGATTACTTTAACAATCTAAAATTATATATAAATCAAATTTATATTTTAAATATAAAGAAAAAAGCAGGTAAGAATGGATTGATTTTCGGAAGAATTAATGAAAAAGAAATAGTTAAATTAATTTACGATTTAACTGAGTATAAAATTAATAAAAAACAAATTACTATGCCAGAAATTAAATATATTGGCGCATATCAAGTTAAACTTAATTTTATGAATGAAATTAATGCTATTATTCAAGTTCAAATAATTCCTTATTAAATTTACCTAAAATAAATATGAATAACAGAATTAATAACACTGATGACTTATTGCCTCCGCAAAATGTAGCTGCCGAAGAACTTTTACTTGGTAGTATTTTACTTGAACCAGATAATTTCGCTCAGGTATCCTCGAACCTGCCAATTGAAGCTTTCTATATTACTGCTCATCAAAAAATTTATAAAATAATTCTGAATTTATATTTAGAAGATAAAAGTCCAGATTTGATAACTGTAGCTGCAGTTTTACACGATTTAAATTTATTAGAAGAAATCGGTGGTTTAAATAAACTAAAAAAAATGGTAGAACAAACAATTTCTACATATAATATAGAACAATATGCAGCTTTAATAAAAGAAAAATATTTAAGACGTTGTTTGATTGATTCTGGAAGAGAAATTACAAGCTTGGCATTTGATTTTAATTCTAGAATAGAAAATTTATTTTTTAAAGCTGAACAATCTTTATTCAAAGTGATTCAAAAAAAAGTATCTAACGATTTATTGCCAGTTAGTGATATTTTATTAGATACTTTTTTAGATTTAGAAAATAGATTAAATAACAACAAACTGAATGGGTTATCTTCTGGCTTTGAAGATTTAGATTCAATGACACAAGGATTTCAAAAAAGTGATTTAATTATTATTGCTGGGCGCCCATCAATGGGCAAGACAGCATTCGCATTAAATATTGGATTTAATGTATGTAATAAAGAAAAAATTGTTGTAGCAATTTTTTCTTTAGAAATGTCTAAACAACAAATTCTTTATAGAATTTTATCTTATAAAACTTTAATTTCGTTAACTAAACTGAGATCTGGAAGGCTGAGTTCAGATGAATGGAAGATAATCAATCATGCACTAAAAGAATTACATAGTTTAGAATTATATATTGATGATACAAGCTATTGTTCTATTAATGAAATTCGCTCAAAAATTAAGAGATTATTAAGCAAAAAAAATAGTTTAGGTCTAATAATTATTGATTACCTACAGCTGATGGAGTCACGTAATAAATTTAATAATAGAGTTCAAGAATTATCTCAAATTACAAGGTCCTTAAAAAATTTAGCCAAAGAATTTAATATTCCTATATTAGTATTATCACAATTAAGTCGTGCTGTAGAATCAAGACTTAACAAAAGACCCTTATTGTCTGACCTACGAGAAAGCGGTTGTATTGAAAAAAATACAATACTAATAAATCATAAATTAGATGAAAGTCTAGTTGTAGAGAGCGTATATACTAATAAAATAATAAATTATCAAACATATGTTTTAAATAATAATAAAAAAAATATAACTACTTATTCAATAAATAATATAAAATTTACTGGATATAAATATACTTATCAAATATTGTGTGAAGGAGGATTATATATAAGATTAACATCAAATCATAAAATTTTAACAAATAATGGTTGGAAAAGGACAGATAATATAACTCCAAAAGACAAGATATATTATATATGTCATTCTAATTCATATTACAGAAATAGTCTAATAAAATTAATCTCAGTCATTAGTATTATATACTACTCAAAAGAGAAAGTATATGACCTAGAAATTACAGAATATAAAAATTTTATAGCAAACTACTTTATAGTCCATAATTCCATAGAACAAGATGCAGATTTAGTCTTAATGTTATATAGACAAGACTATTATAATCATAATGGAATAGATGATAACACTTGTGAAATTATAATCACTAAGCAAAGAAATGGTCCAATAGGAACAGTTAAATTAAAATTTGATGCTACCACTACACAATTTTCTACTTTTACTTTACCTTATACGAAGAATAAAGTAAATTAATTTATTAAACTTCATTACATGCCAAGAACCAGAATTGAACTGGTGACACAAGGATTTTCAGTCCTCTGCTCTACCAACTGAGCTATCCTGGCTTATTCAAGTTATTCCACGTATATATAGAATAATCATCATTCACCTATTATAATATATAAAAAATTAATTATCAAGTGTAATTATATGTAATATTATACATATAATTACACTTCTACTAACTCTCTACTTTCTGATCCAGCATGTACACCATTTTCTAAATTTTCACTATCTTCATTTAATACACGTTTATTGTCATCTATAGAATTTTTACTTGTTAAAATAATAACTTGATTATTTTCATCTAAATCAACTACAGCAGTATCTGAAGCTTGTAATCTTTGAGATAATATCTCCTCAGCAAGTTTATCTTCTAATAAACGCATAACAGCCCTTCTCAAAGGACGAGCACCATAAACTGGATTATAACCTTCTTCTATTAATCTACCCTTAAAACGATCTGTTACTTCAATTTTTATATTTTTTTTCTCTAATCTATCAAAAACTTCTTTCAGCATTAAGTTAGCAATTTCACCAACTTCATTTTTAGTTAATTGTCTAAATACTATAATTTCATCTAAACGATTTATAAACTCTGGCCTAAAATATTGTTTGAGTTCTTCATTGACTAATGAACGAATACGATTATAATGTGATTCCATCTGACTAGCAGATAATTCAAATCCCAAATTACTACCACCTTTATCTATAACTTTTGAACCAATATTAGAAGTCATAATTAATAAAGTGTTTTTAAAATCAACAGTATGTCCTTTAGCATCAGTTAATCTTCCATCTTCTAAAATTTGTAATAATATATTAAAGACATCTGGGTGAGCTTTTTCAATTTCGTCAAATAATATAACTGTGTAAGGTTTACGACGTACAACTTCAGTTAATTGTCCTCCCTCATTATAACCAACATAACCTGGTGGAGACCCAATTAGCTTTGATACTGTATGTCTTTCCATATATTCAGACATATCCAAACGAACCATGGCACTTTCAGAACCAAAAAAATAAGATGCTAATGCCTTAGTTAATTCAGTTTTGCCCACGCCAGTTGGACCAGAAAAAATAAAACTTGCAATAGGTCTATTAGGATTTTTTAGTCCCACTCTTGCTCTTCTAATAGCGCGTGATACAGCACTAACTGCTTCATCTTGCCCAATAATTCTACTATGTAAAGTTTCTTCCATATTAAGTAATTTTTCTGACTCAGATTTAGTTAATTTACTTAAAGGTATACCAGTCCAAGAGGAGACAACAGCTGCTATATCTTCTTCTGTAACTACAGGAGGATCTTTTTCAACTTTGCTTTCTATTTTTTTACTTTTAGCTAGTGCAACTATTTGTGATTTAATTTCTATTTCTCTCTCTCTTAAGTTAGTAGCTTGAGTAAAATCCTGTGATCTAATAGCTTCTTCTTTTTGCTTTAAAATTTCTTTTAATTCCTTATCTAAATTAGATTCAATTTTAGGAGTTTTAGCTTGCATAAGACGAACTCTAGATCCGGCTTCATCAACCAAATCTATAGCTTTATCTGGTAGGAATCTATCCGAAATATATTGATGAGCTAATTTAGCTGCAGCATTTAAAGCTTCATCTGAAATTACAAGTTTATGATGTAATTCATATCTATCTCTCAGTCCATATAAAATTTCTATTGTTTCTTCTACAGTTGGTTCACCAACAATAATTGGTTGAAATCTTCTTTCCAAAGCAGCATCTTTTTCAATATGTTTACGATATTCTTCTAATGTTGTTGCACCAATACACTGTAACTCTCCCCTTGCTAAAATAGGTTTCAAGATATTAGCGGCGTCAATTGCTCCTTCTGCTGCGCCTGCACCTATTAAAGTATGCACTTCATCGATAACTAAAATAACATTGTTAATAGCACGGATTTCATCAATAATTCTTTTTAATCTTTCTTCAAATTCTCCTCTATATTTTGTACCTGCAATTAATAATCCTATATCTAAATTCACAACCTGTTTATCTTCTAATAAATTAGGTACATCTTGTTTGGCGATTCTTTGAGCTAAACCTTCTGCTATAGCAGTTTTACCTACGCCGGGTTCTCCTATTAGCACAGGATTATTCTTAGTTCTTCTTCCTAAAATTTGTATTACTCTTTCAATTTCTTTTTCTCTTCCAACTACAGGGTCTAATTTACCTTCAATAGCTAATTGAGTTAAATTAACTCCAAATTCTTCAAGAGTAGGTGTCTTACTTCTTACATACCCGTAAGCATTAGCATTAACAAATTCAGACTCTTCGATAATTAGATCCATAGTTTGTTGACGCAGCTGTTCCAAATCTACCCCTAGATTTTCTAATACTTTTGTAGCAACACCATCTCCTTCACTTAATAGACCTAAAAGAAGATGTTCAGTACCAACATAATTATGTCCTATAAATTTTGCTTCTTCTATTGCTAATTCTAAAACTCTTTTAGCACGCGGTGTAAATGGAATTTCTACAGCTACAAACCCTGATCCTCTACCGATAATTTTTTCTACTTCAATACGAGCATCTTTTAGTGTTACTCCCATTAACTTCAAGACCTTTGAGGCTAATCCATTACTTTCAGCTAATAAACCTAATAATACTTGTTCCGTACCAACAAAATTATGCCCTAGTCTTCTAGCTTCTTCTTGAGATAACATAATTGCTTTTATTGCTTTTTCTGTAAAGCGTTCGAACATATCACGCTCCGAAATTTATATAGGTTGATAAAATTCAATCTTTTATTCTAGATAGGCTAATAATTGTAAATTTAGCATATAATAATATGATTATTTTTATTTTATAAAACAAACATAATTGTATTAAAGATAGATCAGATAGAAAATAAAAGGCCATTTAT